TTAGCAGTTTTACTGCCAAAACTTTTGCGTTCTCATACGCGGGCCCAGACTTGCGCGAGGGTTGGTTTCGCAATATTGAAATGGCACTTGGCCAGGGAATCCACCAGCAAAATTTTGGTACTTGAGCTTGCTTGACTGCCGAGTTAAAATACTCGGGCAGACGAACACACAGGGTCATGGCAATACGCGTTTTTGCAATTTTCAAATAGGCAATAATTGGCCAATGCACGGGCTGCCCGTGCGAAGATGCGTTTTTTGCATAGTTCCCCGCAGTTTTTGTTGCTACCGGCACCGGCTTTTTTGGCAAATGCTTCTAGCTAAACAAATTAAGACTGGCCGCCAGAATTGTTAGGAAACACACCTTAAAATTTCAGATTTCTAGCTTCCCTGGCTCCTGAGTTAGCAACTTACTGGAAAAAATTTTTACGGTCCCGTGCGTGTTTGCCACGCATACCCGAGAGTTGGGTTTGAGCTGAATGAAACTTAGGTGGACGGGATATATCCTCTCAAAATTCAGTCCTTTAGCTTCTCAGATCCCCGAGTTATGAACTTGCCCGAGAAGAATTTTGGTGGCCCGTACGCGAGTACCACACTTACCCGGGGGCTGGGTTTGAGCTCACTAATACACACATGGATGGGGAAAATCACCCTAAGATTTCAGCTTTCTAGCTTTTCTGGTTCGCGAGTTATCAACTTACCCGTGAAAAATTTTGGCCGGCCCGTGCGCGGGGTACCACGCGGGTAAGGCTGCCCATTTCGGGGATGGGGACCCGTATGTGCATGTAGATTACGTCCCCAAAGTTTCAGCCTTCTAGCTTTTGTCGGTCGCGAGATGAAAAATCGGTACAGAGGCCCTGCGCACACACAGACACACACACACACACACACACACACATATACAGACAACCTCTCGTCAATATGCGTTTTCCGCATTGCATAGCTGCAAAAAACGCATAAAAATGCATAAAAATTGATATTCATGCGCGCTGGAGGTCCATTTGGCCTTATCACGTAACATCATTCCAGCCGACGCCGTTCCCTCTGAATGCGGATGGAGGCCGGTATGAGTCTAAGTGATAAAGTACAGTGCAGGATTATTCCTGCTGTTAGTGATCTACAAGCTTAGCGCAAAAAGGCATAAGCGCACCGGCAAGCTTGGTGTGCTGCAGTCTGGATGTTAACTTTATTTTAATGTCTATTTTCAAGCTAATCAACGCAGCATCTTGCTTGTTTGTAATGTAAGGAAAAATTGTTTATTCTGAGTTTGAATATTTCGCTCTCTAGCACTGAGCATTCAGTGCGAAAAATTGGTTGAGACAAAACAATTGTAAGGAAAAGTTTATAATGTCTGTAGTGAATGTAGCTCCTTTTCGAAAAGGAGTACGGACCAATAGGGAATCAGATCACTCCCCTTCATCACGTGCTAACCTTGCACCACCGGCCCTTTTACTCCACGAAATTTGCTGGAATACCTTATGTCTTCTGAATGTATGGCACTCCTATACATATTCTACGCTGCAACTTGTGCAGCACACTCTTTCAGCGCTTGCCGACTTCTCACAGATTTTCCACTACAATGTCACAAAACATTTAAGTGCGGGCGCGCATTATCAAGTTCAAAGACGAATGCTATTTCAGTGACAGATGCATGCAGTTTGCCGATAGACGTGGGTCGAGGGGATGCACTGGTGAAACGTTACTACTACGACGATCATTCCAAGCAGTGCATGGAGTTCGAGTACCACGGGATGCAGGGAAATGAAAATAATTTCCTGAACTACAGCGAGTGCAAGCATAAATGCATGAGTACGCGTCTTCGCTAAATTACTCTTACGTTGCAAAATACAAAGCATTGGTGCCAAGCGATACGGATGCTGTTGCTTTCCTCTGCAATATTTTATTGCGTCTTAGAATGCAGCGCATAAGATACCTCTAAAATTTACGGGAATTTGTCCGAAATTTTCTTTAAATGAGAGGTGACAGTATCGCTAGCGCATCCATGAGACGCATCCATGAGCGCATCCATGAGATGTTACGTTCCAGATTTGGAGCGGCTAAAAATCATTAATATAGGATGAGGAAAGAAACGTGAGGTTTGTGGAAAAGGAGAGTGAAACCAAAAGAACTGGAGATGACTGCTTCTGTTAATACCAGTTGCCTCACTCTCCCTTCCAATTTGGTCCTTAATCCAGGATGATGGAGCCAGTACGTCGGCTCTAGCTTATTGAATAATACATCGGTTCTTTCGAATCGAATACCACACCTCAGATTTGGGTTATTAAACCTTTATTTAAACTGGTTAACAAAACGCGTTTTAACGAAACAATAGGTAACAACAATGCGAGTTGGGTCTGCAAAGCACACACAGAGCAAAGCATAGCTCATTTTCAAGCCAAAACAAAACATAACCCCTTTTCTTTTTACTGCTCTGCAAGCAGTACATGACGGCCTTACTAACGGCGCCTAATGAAGAAAATGATAGTCGAAAGAAAATGATAGTCGAAAGAAAAGAAATGGGCAGACGCGGCAGATTAAACTTGGATGTGGCTATTACGTTATTGGTTGATGATCCAGAAAAGGATGAGTATGAACCGTCTCCTAAACATGAATGCCGTCGTTTTTATGACGTTGTA